ACAAAACAAAACAAAATAAAATAAAATAAAATAAGAAAATGCCAAAGAAGACAGAAAAAAACTCTTCACAAAGTAACTCAGAGTTGAACTGATAACTTGTGCAAATTAATCGTACCAGATCAACTTCTCTTCTTTCTCCAAAGAGGAAACAGAGATCTGTTTTCCCCTTTAAGCCATTTAGCTGAAGATTTATGCATAAGTAAGCAAAATGGCTTTCTAGTCCATGCTCATGATAGCTGAAGTTGGGAAATAATTAGAGCGGGGAAGAATCTTGAAAAGAAAAAAAAAGAAAAAAAAAATGTGTCATGTACGGGGGTGTGCCTGGACTCAGGATTTGATCAGTTAGCCATAGAGTAACTTCCATCAAAAGTGACAGGAGTTATGCCTGGGTTCACACTGCAGAAGAGAGACAATTATCTGTGCTATAAGCATAAGAAGAGATGATGTTAGGAGCCCTTGTTTCAGATCCAGTTATTCAGGTCAGACCTTATTTAAACCTGCCTTATTTAAACCTTGCCCAGCAGAGTCGAGCTGGTAAATTTTAAAGAAAGATGTGTGAAGCTAATGATTTTAAATCAAAGGAAATCTCTTGCGCTCGTAATGTATTCTGAGGTTGCTTGGGTGAGGAAGGGCAATTCAAGAAAACGACAGGTGCTTGAAGGATCTTTTGGCCTTTCAGTCATCCATCATTTGCAAGAGCATCAGTGATGGATGTGAAATGGATCATGCAGAAATTAATGATTTGGACGCACTCGTTAGAGTTCTTCCTGTTTGTATTACCATTGCACTCGGAAAGCACTTCTAGTAAGTAATACACAATACTGTGACTGACGCAGAACAAAACAACATGTCCTTCCTGGAGTATTTCCCATCTAAATGTAATCAAAGATGAGAGACAGAGAAAAAGGGCACCACAAGGATGGAACAAGACCAGGCAGAAGACTGTGGAGTGAGGAGCAGAGGCAGGTTTATCTGGCCAACTACAGACATCTACATGTGAACTTGTCACTCCAGCCTCCCTTTATAGTCAGTGGAGATCCAGGTAATACAGTCAGGGGAGTCCAAGGGCATATTTCTTGTCCTAAAGCAAACATCTGAAGTAGCTGAGATGACCCATGTGTTAGAAGTACATATGGGTACCCCATCCCTGGAGGGGTTCAAGGCCAGGCTGGATGAGGCTTTGAGCAACCTGGGCTAGCGGGAGGTGTCCCTGCCCATGGCAGGGGGTGGAACTGGATGATCCTTAAGGTCCCTTCCAACCCAAACCATTCTGTGATTCTATGATTCTCCCTGTTGATGCTAAAGAGAGCCTGTAGTGACTGGGATACATACAGGTGTCCACACTGTAGATGTCTAAAGCGATTCCTGTTCCTTGCATTTGACAATCAGAAGTTTTTTTGTAGGCACTGCAACAGATAAATCTGTGAGGGTGCAGTTATGGGAAACTCATCTCACATGGCCAGTGGGAGAGAAAGGCAACATGATGCTTGTTTGGCATGTGAGCGTTGAAAATGTGAAGCGTTTGCCCATTCTTGAGGGAAGGCGTCACCTCAGGAAGATGGAGAGTGGGGGAGAACAGCCCTGAAAACATTGATGATAATTTCTGACAGTAACACCATCTCTTCTCTTGCCAGGTGCCCCCTCCGTGTTCATCACTGCTTGGACTATTGTCAGGATTTACTTTTTTGATGTTGGGTAAGCCTACGGACTCAATTCGCTTTCCTTTATTAATTCTTCCTTCCTTTATCTCCGAGGAAGGACAAGGAGTGCCCTGCAGTTTTCCTAACAAAAAATTCCCTAACCCTAATGGCAGTCAGAACAGAGCAGAACCTTTCCCCTGCCCCCAGGATCCAGGAAACCCTCCAAGGTCTCCCCAAAGACACTGCTTTAGGGATCTTTGGACAATCACTCACCCTCTTTGTTACCCAGTCCCATGGTCCGGATATTTGCAGGGAATTTGGGAACAGACCCTGATGGCCACATTTCATCCTGTGTATAATAAAATATACCAGCTGAGCAGCTTCCCCGTGCTCAGAGCAGAGCTTTGCATCCTGCAGAATTGCCCCTAAAGATGCTGGTGCAGCACATACCTAATAAACACACCCATAAGCTTCCCACAGAAAAACCCTAATAACTTTTTTTTTTTTTTTCCCCAGGCAGATTTTTAGGATCTGTTTTCCATCCTGTTTAACCTAACAGCTGCCTTTGATACTTTATATAAGCAGATATAATACAGCTAAGTGAACGAGGCAGCTATTAGAGCTATCCAAGGATCTATGGAAGTAAATAGGGTCTGATCCTGCCACCCTCCTTCATGCTTTTACTCAAGCAGTCAAACTATAGTAATTGGAAGAGCTTTTATGAGAAAACACTCCAGAAGGTTACAGAATCAGGTGTTTACTATGTACCCGTGGTGCATGCCCTTGCTTCTTGCATTTACAGCGCACGGTTAACACCATTTTCTCCTGTACATTCACTCTCTCCAAATGTGTCCTGATTTGTCCTTATTTCACTAGATGCAGCTCAGACTTCTTGTTGTGTTTTTGATGTATAGTCATTCTAACACATTTCCTGATGGCTACTGACTTATTTTATAGTTTCACTCCCTCTGCATAAACCTGACCTTATTTACTCTGTTAATAAATATGAGATAGAGACTGAAGGATTTAACCACTCTGGGTACCAATTTTCTTACTCTTTCTACTTAGCTCCAGCAATTCTTAATAAAAATACAGACTTCTTTGCATTTTCTGTAGGCTTTAAAGCTCTACATTTTTGTGCCAAATAAATCAGGATATGCTAATACCTAACATAGATTTTTTTTTTTTGTCGTACTAAAATTACCTACAGAGAAAAATTACAGGAAATTAATAGAGATTAAATAAAACCTAATTATATAAGATTGGTTAAACAACATTAAGCCTCTCTTTAAACATTCTAACTCCAAATTAAAGTGACCTTCGCTCAGACTGCCTGAATTTATTTTAAAAATGAAGTGCACTAGACATAATTAGGGCCACTTTAATTCTAAATGAAAGGGCAGCATGCACCTGGCTAAGTATAGGCATCCGTATCTGAGCAATTTGCTCTAGTCTCCTTTTATAGCTGGTGGAGATTTCGTCAGTGTAGTCCATGGAGTGTAATTCTTTTCACCCTAAAGTCAATGCTTAAAATAGGTCTCAGGAACTGTGCCGTGAGTGCCTCTTTTCATCTGCTCTTACGTGTGCTGTCAACATTTTGAATTAGATGGGCTGAATCCAGGTGAAATTGTCTACGATGGGTTCCACTAATCTATTTCAAACATGAATGCAGGCTAATTTTCATAAATGCTGTCCTGAAAATACACCTTCCATCCCCTAACTGTTGTGAGGTCTGCAGATAAATGTCCCAAGCAATTGTAGTCATTTCTACTTCATTCCTATTCTGTCATTTCCTTGATGGCTTTAAAATATGGTTCCAGGTGACCTAGGTGAGTGGTGTGGTCTGCAGACAATTCTGATTTCAGGATTAAAATAAATTACATCCTGGACCTTCTGGATTTGTCTGACTAGGTCCATAGCTCACATGCAGCTGGTTAGATTTACTTGGACTAATCCCACCATAATCTCTCATCTTTTTCAAAAGGTGATGTTGGGGTTTTTTTTCTGATGGTGCCAATTGCTCTGTGCTTAACATCTCCATCCATGATGGTGGGTAGCATTGGAGGCCTCATGAATCCGTGATTTTGGTAGCATTCCCTTGTAGCAGACCTCAGTGTAGGAGAAATGAAGCAAATCATCCACATTCCCTCTGACATAACATCCTCCAGCCTATTCCATTAGCAAGGGGAAGAGAGCTCACAGCATCATTTCTGGGGCAACTGGTACCTACCAGTGCTCAAAGCCACTGCAAAGCGAGACTTCAGACCTCCCCTGTTCATGCACACCAGGTTGAGTCATCTTCACAGAACCTAGCATAGGGTGACCAAGTCCCTGAGAAGGGCACATGGCTTCTTGCTCGCTTTGCTCAATGTCTTAAGTCTGGTTTTGTTTCTTTTTAGGTGCTGGGAGGAAATAGTGGAATCCCCCTTCTGGTGGATCATTAAAACTCCTATTTTGGTGTCTATTTTGGTAAAGTATCAGCACATTCTCCTGGCTGCAAAGCCATCTTTAATACTAAGTTTGGGGGTTGAAGGGGTGTTAAGAAGTGTTCTGTAAATGTCCATGAAAAATGCATTGACAGATAAAATCCCGCCGTATATTGAATGTCTGTCTTAGGATGAGGAAGCCCAGCCTCCGCATAAACATCTTTACCTTTAAGCATTGACCGTGGGAAGAGGTTGAATGACTAGGCACCCAAGGTGGAGCTCATTTGATTTAACTCTGGCCACCCCATCTCAGGTGGCTGCCCTTGACACTCTGCTGCCATAGCCATGGGTGTGTGTAGACAGAGGAGGATGAGGAACGTGCTTAGGGATCCAGGAAAATCTCCTCTTGTCTAATGAGTCAGTGGATGTCTAAATTCGATCAGATTAATTATACCATGATTTATTTTTGTTTCTGTGAGCTGACCATATGCAGAGCCCAGGATGACTCTTTCAGTTGGAGATATCAACACTATAAAGTAAAACAGGATGAGTCCTACCATAAATTTCTACCTAGCTAAAAAGAGGTTAGATGGATCCCCCAGATATTTGCCTCTTGTTATAGCGCCCAGTACAAAGCTGGATTCCAGCTGTGTGTTTTTCAAGTAAGTCCTTGAGAAGCTTGGCTAATTTCCAGATAAATCAACAGAAGCAGCTGATTTCTTACTTCTCTGGATATGATCAATGCTGACCACAGAAACCATGACACTTCTGAGGAACACTGAGTACTTCCATCCTTGTTGAATATTATGTGTTTCCTCTGTCAGGTATCAAGTCAAAACTTAATATCAAATGAACTTAGTTGAACTTAGCTTTGAGTTTTCTTCAATGAAGACAAGTACGTGGGAAGGGAAGGAAAAGAAAGCCACAGAAATCAAACCAAATATATCTCTTTTAAACAGAAATCTTTTCTTAGACATACATTCTTCTTGTTCCACGTACATTATGACCTTTACAAAAAGACTTTTTTTCTCTAGCATTTGTCACACAGGGATTCCAAACTGAAGCAGTTGAATAATTGCATCTTACTCTATTCACCTCACTGAAAAGAAATACAATACTTAGATGACACATCTCAAAATATTTATATCATCATATAAATCTATTGAAAGTATTTCCCTTTCCTGAGATAACCTTTTGGTAAAGAAATACACCCTGTACTCCTTGGATCAGTGAGTCTGTATTTTCTTTTGGCCGATAAATCATTTCCTCATTGCCAGACAAAATTTACCCAGCAATTTCTGATTTTCCTTCTGCAGATGCCATATAAATCTGTCACAAAGAAGGGCATGATAACCGCTGCCTGATGAACAGCAGGTTTCTTCTAGGAGGAGTGCAACATTTTCTCCATAGCCATGGGAATAAACCTAGATCTCAATGGAAGGAAGAAATACATACATAAGATATTAAGCACTGGGAAGAGATCAAGTGCTTACGATTATGCTCTAGGTTGAAAAATAAATTAAACAACTTCTCCAGCAGCCTGATAGCCATATCTTCTACCACGCAATGCTAAGGCTGTACTAAGCCTATAAGTCACGCTCCACCTGACTTACGACTGCCCTGATTCTGCGCCCATGTTTGCTCTTGACTACAACGAGCCGACACAGTCAGTATTTAACACAGGGCAGGAGGGTGGGAAGCAGCTCCAATGTTACCTTCAGTGGTGTGCTATCAATGCTCATTAGGGTAATTGATCTGGGTAATACTGGTTTGAACTGATACATTTTATTTGCCACCAAGTCATACGCAAACCATTTTTATAAGCAAATAAATATGAACAGAAATGATGATAAATGGCACGGGGTAGATAAAAAGTGATTAAGTAATGCATCATAACCAAGAAATACAATTAGTTTCCAATCACTCATAGCCTTTGAAAAACGAGTGAGTGTCTAAATGAGAGATGTGCTTCAGTCTTCTTTATTCACCTGTTGTTGAGATAAATGTAGGAACCGCTGGAGGAAATTTGACAATCTGTTTTTGCAGGAAATCGGATTGGCTGGTTAACACAATCCCTTCCAGTTGTTGAGTCTCTAAAAATCAGAATCATTTGCGCATTTACTAACCATGAAAGGATAAAGAGGTTGTGTACCAATCTAAAACTAAACTGAGTCCACAGAAATCTGTCATCGCTTTTCTGTTGAATATGTTGCATGACTAACAGCGTGATTCAGTAGATAGGACCTTAAGATCAAATCGATTTTCATTCAGCTCATGCCATCTCCTACATGCCTTTAGGAAATTGCCATTCCTACCTCCACACGTTTGCTATTCAATAAGGTTAACACTGCTTGAGTGTGTTGGTGGAGCACTTTAAGATTTTTTGAGTGGAAAGCGCCATCAAAAACCTAGGTGTTAGCTAGACTCCTCTGGTCTGATGTCCTAGGAGAGAATGTTTTCCTCTGTGTAAGAGAGGTCTATCCCATGCTATAGAAGGTCTCCAGCTTCTCTCCAGGGAAGAGATGCCCAATAGCACTGAGTAGAGGCCTGCTTGAGTAGATACTGCTTTCTGTTCTGGTTTGGTTTCCTTGGCTTACCACCTCAGTCTTTGACATGCTCAGCGGCTGGTCCCATGTCACCGTCTCCCGAGGGCTTTGACGTCCATCTCTCCGCTAACTCCCAAGGCTCTTTTCCCGCCCTGTCGTCGGCACTCCCCCGTGCAGCAGGACGTCGTGCATAGCTGTGCTCTATGGGTTTGACATCATCATACTTGGGATGTATGACACAAAGTCCCAAGCAGGCTGATGTCAGGCCCAAGATGGCTGCCACCCTGTGTCGGTTTACTATGTGCTCCCAGAGTGGGGTTCTCTGCTCATGGCTTTTTAACAACAGCTTGCTCTATGGCAAAAATATTGCAGTGAAAGGAATTCCCCTTTAATGATTGGCTCTTTTGACTGGAGAAAAATACTAATTTTTTCTCTCTCTCTCTCTTTGTGCCCATCCCAACAGGTGAACTTCATTCTCTTCATTTGCATTATCCGTATCTTAGTCCAGAAGTTGCATTCACCAGATGTTGGACACAATGAAACCAGTCAATATTCGTAAGTCCAAGACTTTTTCAATGGTATTATGTGGGTTTTTGGGAGACGTCTTTGGCTGTTAGATCAGTATTGCATCTGTCTGCTCTGATCAGAATCAAGTATTTGCTAATTGATTAAAGCTGATCAGAAGTCATGAAGTGGGGCATTTGCTAAAACAGGTGGGCATGTTTTATGTCAGTTTGAACAGACAGGCGAGAATGTTTTGTCATGGGATTAATGATGAAGTGAGAGCAACAGTCATGATCATGAATCAGTAGTATTTTTCTTTGTCTATTCAATATTTATTGGATTCTGAAGGCAGAGGGACCCTGATGGTGAACAAAGAGGATCTGTTGACAGTAGCTTTTTTTTTTTTTTTTTTTTTTGTGGACTAGTTATCCTCAGCTCCTTTTTCAAAAAAGGAGAGATCTAGAAACTTAGTTCAATCAGTAGAATCTGTGGCAAATTTTCCTTACCCTAAAGCAGACCCTTAAACTAAAGTGAATTAATTCAATGCGTTTCTTCTCACTGTTGATAAGTAGCACTGTCTCAGAAGTTTTGCTTGATGTAAAACCTTTATTCCCAGGATATGAAGTTAACCTTAATGGGGCTGTTTATAACAATCAACATGCAACTGAGATCAGCATCTGTCTTGGTGGCTGAAACTGGTCTCAGTTGCAGTATTCTAAGAGTGCCTGTTGGCATGGATCAAAGTTCAGACTGGCTTATTTTTCACTCTTGCCACTGTCCTGGCTCAGCACTTCAACCGTCCTGGATATTTCTTAAGTGATTCCTAGAAAAGAACTGAGAAGGAAAAACTCCAGTGTCTACACGGTCACTGCTCATAAATCTTCTTTGTCTTTGGAGGGAGCAGTGCACTTAAGTACCCTGAAGAATCTGAAGTCAGTTTGTCCTTCTGCAAGATAGAAGACAATATCAATATGGTCCTTAAATACTGACCAGCCATGACTCTAAGTCTTTCTCTCTAGTGATGGTAATTTATGCATTTCATCTGCCTCGAGAGATTCTCAGGTTTATGAAAGGAAATTCCAGTATTTGACCTTAACCTGTCCCTGCAGCAGCCAAAGCCAATTACCTCTTTTTCTGTCCTCATAACACGCCAACATTACCAGACCCCATGCTTTCTATCACCTTCCCTAATGTATTTCCAATTGGGCATTGTATCTTTGTACCCCCAGGATTGCAACAGCTTTGGCCAGGTACGTAGATTAAATCAGCCTATTGAAATATGTTCTAGTACTAAGCAGCAGCCTGGAGCAGTTGGCTCCCATTCATCTCAGTAGCAAGTGCTGCCAACATGCATCAGAAGGGTTATGCCCAGATTACCTCAGAGGGTTTTTTGCTGAGATTTGGGTTCAGGGCTTTTTATTTCACATTTTCCAGCGAAGTAGGAGCTGCCAGGAAAGCTCTCTTTGCCTTGTAAATAAACACAGCACGGCAGGTAACACAGATTTCCCCACGCTGGCCTGCCACACAGGAGGCACTGCTGAAGTACAAATGATCTTCACATCTTCAGTTCCTCACCTTCCTTCTCCACCTGGAAAAACATCTTCTTCCATTAGGGCATGAAGCATTTGCTCACTTATAGGTGTCCAAGCCATATGAGATGCTTGAGGACATTTGAGATACTTGCCTGGACCTGGCATATAGGACTCAAGACCTATGGGAGAATTGTACCCTTATACAGTGGCTGATGGCCACCAAAGAGGTTCTGTGGGGCATCTGGAAGTCTCTATTGACTGTATTGACTGCAGTAGGACATGAGACACCACACTTTCCTATGGAAATGAATCTTTAGTGTCTCAACCTGGATGCCCCCAAGGGGATTTCTCAGTGTGGTCCTAAGTTTTGAATATTTAGACAGCTATCTGTAGAGACGTTGGGGTCCAGACCCCTTTATAAATACCACTAGGTATGTGATCTGCAATTGTGGACACCTGGATCCTTTTACATGTCGTTCCCTTATTACCTGAAATGCTGCTTCTAGCTTCAGGGACTTGACCTGCAGGACCCAAGAGGTCTTAGCAAAAACTTCTGCTAATGATATGTATGGCTTCCTCCAGACAAAACTGAGATAAGTGTGATTTAAACTAACAGCATCATGGATCTCTCATTTGCATTTCTCCTTCCTTCTCTTGTTTATTTTATAAAAAATATAACATGTTGACACATTGACAATATTGTTCAGTTCCAACTGGTTTCAGTTTAGCTGCAGGCTGGAAGTTCAAGTGCGCTGCTGACTCACCCGTTAACGCTACAGACAGTGAGGTGGGCTTTAATGTATTAGAAACTGAGAAGACAAGTCTCCCAAAACAGTTTTCTAGAAATGGCAGAGACATGCAAGAATGGGACAGCAATATTTCAGGCAAATAGAAGTTGTCTTCCACAACAGAAATCTCGAGCAAAAATCATCTCTTTCTATTCTGTACATGTTCATAGATCAATATGATCATCAAAGTTTTCTGGGCAACTTTTCTGTTATGCATTCAAGGGGCATGACTCAAATTGGTTCACTCCTATCCACTCCCAAGGAGAGGAGTAGGTTCAGTGCAGGCTAGTGGAGATGTGTTTTCCCCAAATTGCCTGTCACCATGTATATCTGTCAGAGAGGGTAGGTCTAAGAAGCTCACCCTGTGCTGGGAGTGGAAGTCATGGGGTTTTTTTGAGAAGCCATGGCTTCCAGCAGGTAGCTTTAACCAGCTTTGGACAATCTCCAAAGCAGTTCTGCCTCCTGTAGAGCCAGGCTTTAGCTTCTTGGGAGAAATTACACCGTGACTGGGGAAGATGTTTTTCCTCATTGCAGTGCTGAGCTTTTAACAATCACAGGGCTAGACCATAGGGTCCTTTCCTTGAAGCGAAACTGAGATATAAAACATCACTCAATATTCTGGGGAAGCTTAGTGCTGGAGCAAGAGACTGGTTTGTGGTTGTTCAGACTGGAGAAGGGGGGTCCTAAGGTTTGGTATTTATGCCCTGTTCATTGCCACAGTCCCGCCGGGAGGGAATATGCTATAAGTGAGGCCCCGATGTTGTCTGCAATAAGATAAAATTTTCTAATCCGTTGGACTTTGCAAACAGCCTCTCTGTGAATACGGTAAGTGAAGGCAGCATTGCGTTCCTCTAGATTGACTGTTCCTGAAAGACCAGGGAGAGAGGAGAGATCTCTGCCAAGCCAGGGCTGATATTCTCTGAACTGTGATCTGCTCAGAAAATGAGTTGCTTTCTCATATGTTGGGAGCTGGGGGAATTAGGGCTGGATCACACTCGTGTGGGTCACATGGGCCAGAACAGCTTCTTACAGGGAGGAACACATCACCCTGATGGTCACCAGTGACAGTGACATCCTCTTGCAGAGTAAGACATCCAAGAGCACTCAGATTTTGGATCTACTCGCTATGAGCAGGGAGGTGCCTGCTGATGAAGGATGTGGTGGGAAAGGCAAGTTCCTGGGCAGTTCCTCAGCTTTGTACAGGCACTCATTTTGCCTGGAATGAGTTGCACCCAGCTGTTATCGAGCCATCAGGTATTCCCTGGGGAACCACAGCCTCCAGCTACAGCCTTAATGTCAAGCTGTCTTTGGGCCAGGCCGAGGGAAAGCTGGAAAGGTCTGCTGGGAGATCCAGTGATGAGCATCATCTGCATAAAGCTGGCACATCAGCCTTCCCAGTGGGCTTATGCAGATGGCAAATAAATGAAGATGGTCTGGGGGGACTGAGCCTGGTGGGACTTTGGCGGGGAAGGGTTTGCAGATGGTAGAAGTATTTCCAACATCCCAGCCTTAGCTTCAGTTCCTCCAGAAGCCTGTAGGAGAGTGGGACTCAGGAGGATGTAGGTGACCAAGAGAGCCAAAACCCCCATAAGCATCCTTAAGTCCTTGATTTCATTGTATTTCTGTCAGCTGTATTTTAATAATGATTAGATTTAATAAATTATCATCTCTTCATAATTAGACCTCTGATTACCCAGCCTGATGCCATTAAGCACTAATACTGTTCATCCCCCTCCTTTGGAGACATTCATTGTGCGATAGCCTGTCATTATTCTGAGCTAAACATACCATTTCTCTCCCAGAAGCTGTAATTTTCAGAAATCCCAAGCAAACAAAGACAGCGCTAGATGATGATTTAGCTTGTAGAGATGAAAAAAGATCTCTGGTGGGAGGGGAAGAAGAGAGAAGGGAGAAAGAAATACCTCCATTGAAGTTACTAGGAATAAAGATGTCACATTTTATGTTGTTAGCACATCTGAAATCACCAGCCATCTGCAGTCTGGGGGCCAAGTAGAAATAATCTAGGGCTGATCACTCTGCCTTAGCTAGAAGCATGTATACATTTATATGAGACCTGTTAACAAGGAGGAAAGCAAGCCTGTGGAAATGCTCCCAGCATGGTCCTTGGTTAGTTTGAGCAGCCACACAGTGACTGTGCCCAGCCAAGGCTCCAGCTCCACATGTCAGTGCATCCCAGCTCATCAGAGGGATGCTGGAGGGGTTGGGCTGTGAGGAGGCATCTCAACACCCTCCCTTTCGCTGTACCCCAGACACTTCTTCCCTCTGGGTGAGGGCAGGCTCCTGATGCTGCCTCGCTTGAGGCTGCTGTTGAAAGGCTGGATGTTCCCAGGACCTCAGGGTAAGTGGTCCATATCACATCTCCTCATGGCAAACAAAGGCACTCGACATGCGTGATCCAGGCTACATCATCATGTTCCAGGCAATCAGCAAATATGTACTGCAGGAAATTAAAGTCTTGGTGTTGCACAGGGCTCAGCTGCAGGATTTCTCATCACCTTACCCTTGAGCTCCTCTTCTGTCTCTCCTTATGACTCATGTTTGTCTTTCCAACAGGAGGCTGGCCAAGTCCACCTTGCTGCTGATCCCTCTCTTTGGCATTCACTACATCATGTTTGCTTTCTTCCCTGACAATTTCAAAGCAGAAGTTAAGCTGGTCTTTGAGCTCGTGGTTGGGTCGTTCCAGGTAAGCCACCCTTCAGGCCACCAGTCAGTCACCAGGTCCATCGGCAGGGAGAAGTGGAACAAGGTTGACAAGGGGATAAGCAAACACGTGAGATGGGTTTTTCCTGGACATGCCCAATACTGCTCATATACCTTTGGGGAAAAAGCTACTCACTCCAGCTTGGCCAGGATGGAACGTAATTTTATATTTTGCCTCCTGGAATTCCAGAAGGAGATGTTCTCTCCTCATTTTAGGCACCTGAAAAGAAAATGTACCTCTGTAAGTCAGTTGCCTTGGGTTTTTTTTGTACGTAAGGGAGAAAAATTAGCACCTCAGTTCAGTTTATGTTATTGACGTGGTGTAAGATGAGATAAATTGGGTGGAATATCTTTCTGGGCATTAACAGGAGCCTTGTCTGTCTTCAAGCAGTTGACTTGCATTAACTTTTTCCTGTGTTAATAAGCCAAGTCCTGCCTCTAGATCCTGCTCAAGCAGGGTTCCAGTTCATTGGCATAGGAGGCAGGTTCCCCATGATGATGGATAACAGGGCTGTCCTCTGCACTAATCTTCAGGAAGCCCTGATGAAGTTTGCTTCTCAGACCGTCCCACACACTTCAGCCAGTTCCCTTGTTGGGCTGTGAACCTTGGCCCTGCTGTTGCGTGGAAAGAAGCACTAATTGACGTATTTCATCCCATTCCATCCATCCATTAATCAGCTCTAGTCACTTTCTATTGTCACATCCTGCAAGCAGGATCTGTCTGTCACCATGTACCACACACGTGTCCATGGTGTATGCTTTGTTCGGTGGTGAATAAGTCAACGTCCCTGTCTACAGCATCATCACGTCACATCTCTCTTTTGAGAGATAAATGGACTTACACTCACTCCTGGTCTTTAGTGTTTGCAACCATGAGGGCTAGAGGTATGTTTGGTTTCTTTCTTTCAGTGGAGGCTGAGATTCTAAAAAATGAGGTGTCACTGCAGGGAGATGGGAAAGGAACAGTTTAGCCCTGTACTGTGCCCAAGATTATTCAGACCTTGATGGTGAACTAGAGAGCATGGTTCCATCTCCCTAGTTCCAGCCAGGAGGAAAGCTGGGTCTTGTAGCCCATCCAGTTACCTCTAATGGCCCAGTTTGAATGACCAAGTGCCCTTCTTAAAGCTGAGCTGGCTGGTGATGGCTTTAAACACAGTCTGGAGCAATCTTTGAACTCACACCCATCCATCTGCTGCCAGGTACCTTAACCAATCCTCCTCTGCTCCTTTTATAAGGAAAATGGAATTAAGTGGTTTCTAAGGGGCACCTTAGCAGTTCCCCAGCAGTGTGCCCTTTCTCCAAGGCTGCAGTTTGGGTTGTCTTCTAGGGGAATATAATCTCTGAGGTGCTAAAGCCTGTTGTCTCCTTTCCCCTAGGGATTTGTGGTGGCTGTTCTCTACTGTTTTCTCAACGGGGAGGTAAGATCAACAAGGTTGTTCAGTTAATGTTTGCAGCTAAGGCAAACTGAATGCTTGTGGAGAGAGGATTGAGAAGCATCCCATTCCTGATGTTCCCATATTGGCAGGAAGCTTCAACATCAAATTGCTCACTCCAGAAAAACAACCATTTTCCAGCACAATTCATACACGTATTAGGACTTTTGTGCAGACTGTAATATTTCTGCTGCTGAGTCCTTCCTTTATACATGAGGCAGCATCAGCAGAATCCCATATGACCTTGATCCGTAGGGACCACCTTCAGCAGGGAAGGATAAAGCTCATCTTCTAAGCCCTACTCATGCTTAACATTTCAATGAATCCTCCACAGAATCAGGCCCACTGCCAAGATGGAAGCTCCTTAGTGCAGTGATATTTTTGTACCATGCTCCATCTGCCTGTAAGAAATTCAGCAGAGACTGATTAAACCCATATCGTGAAGGCTACCAAGTAGGTGTGAGCAGCTGAAAACTTGGAACTGCTGTCAGCTGGAGCACATTCAGCTCAGTAAACTGAGCATGGACAAGAAAGAAGCAGCTGTGATCTGGGTTTGTGTTCCAGCTTCCTAGGGAGAGGAAGAGTGTCCAGAATCACAATTTGCTCCTTTACAGCTCCGATGCAGCTTTCAGCCGTGCTGATGCCATGTGTACATCACGCAGGGGCGTGCAGGGCAGATAGCCCAGTTCCACCAGAGACCTTTGCCAGTAAGGCTGCGCGGAGCAGGGCAGAACCACGCACAAACTTACTAATGATCCAAAACCAATATGGGCATTGGCGTGACTTGTTAGACACAAACCAGTGCCAGGTAAACACGCTTCTGCCTTACAGGCATTGATCTTGCCTTTCCCTAGTTTTCAGTCCTGGGGTTTGCAGCCTGGTGTTGTGCTGTTCTTGTGCTTGCTGATCCCAGAGACCCTCAGACACAGCTCTAAAAATTTGGACTGGAAAGCTGCAGGAGGGACATTGGCCAGAGCTGTTCAGGATTAGAATCTGGATGGTTTAGAAGAGATAATGTATGTAAACTCCCTAAGCAGGAACAAGTAGCTTCTATGAAAAAAGCACAACTGTATTGACAGCTTTACAAACAATCTGTCATTAAATTATTTGTATTTGGATAAGAACAGGGCAATGAAAAAAAAATCGTAGGGACAAAGCGTAGAATTTGTTGCCATTAAAGTAGTCTGGCACCTTCACTGTATTGGATAAGCAATTCCCTCTGCTCACCTTTCTGCTGAAGCTCAGGGATTTCTGCTTTAGTAGTTTCGTGGCTGGAGTGTGACTTCTATGTGGCTAAAAGTTCTGGCCAGGCTGAGTTCAGTGACCTTTACGAAATAATTCTTGGCCCCTTGGTAGGTGGGTCATCCGTTGCTACTCACACAATTGAGTCAGAGCAATGGAAAATGCTCCCCTCTGCTGATCTGCTTGTCTTTCCACCTCCTAGGTCCAAGCTGAACTCAAGCGCAAGTGGCGGAGGTGGCACCTGGAGCGGTTCCTGGGCTCGGACATGAAGTATCACCACCCTTCCTTAGGCAGCAACGGCACCAACTTCAGCACCCAGATCTCCATGTTGACCAAATGCTCACCAAAGACACGCCGGTGCTCTGGCTTTCAGGCTGAATTCTCTCTGGTGTGATGGGGAGAGGGTTTTCCAAGCACTGAGCATCCCAGAGACAAATGGAGAGAGACAGAGGATCCCCAGGAATCAGTGGTACGATGGCAAACCCTTGTGAAATGACCTGAGCCAACAGAGGACACAAAACTGGAAAAGCCGCTGGCATCCAGAACAAGATCAGACAAGCCAAGAGGCAGAGAAGTACTTTTCCTCTCCCTCTCTTCAGACCTTTCACTCTTGAGTTTCAAGCCCTCAGGGGTTGATAACTATGAGTAAAGGTCCCAGTCACTTGAGGAGAACCTGGGAGATCTTGATGTGTCATAAATAATGAAGTACAGGGGGTAAGGGAGGGGAGAGCCTGAGTCCTTGGTGGCTTTACCAGAACTGGCATCTCTGAAACAGAAAAATTGCACTTTTTTTCAAAAAATGAGCCAGTAAAGGAAAGAGGGAGGCAAGAAGCAGAGGGAAAAAAAACATATGAATGTGCCAGAAGTCCCATTGATAAGAGGTGGTGATAAGGCACCGAAGACGGAGTTGGGGACACGGGGAGAAGGGACAGGAGGAACATGAGCAGGAAGGGGAGAGGCCAGCGTACGGCCCCATCTCTGCGTTTTACACCTGTGAAGACAAAGCTGCAGCACCAGGAAAGCCCTTCGGAGGATGCTCCAGTGCTGTCGTGTGTTCTGCTGGTTGCCCACCATCATCCTTGCTAGCAAAAGCTTTCCAAGCACCCTTGGGTGCCCTCTGGGAAAGCGGGTGGCTGAGAAGGAACAGTGTGAATGCCTTTCTCTGCGCTATGTTCGTGACATCGTGTTTTCTTTGGTTGTTTTTAATGAACAGGGAACTCGATTTGCATGTATAAAAACCAGGTACAGATGCCAAAAGCAGAGCACGGCTGTGTTTTTAATTCTTTTTAAGTTCACCCCATAGATCTTGGTGCGATAATACACCCAGGATCATTAGGGATCAGGGAAAAACAACTCGTCTGTAATTCGTTTGCACTTGCTTAGCACACACTGCCAGGAAGGGGAGATGTGGAACCCTGTAATCCTTAATTGAATCTGACCTGCCATAAGGAGCCACTCTCCAGATAAAAAAAAATTAGCGTTGCAGCAGCAAGCAAAATTGCTTTCATCAGAACAAGGTTGTCTCAGTACCTAACTGGCACTCCAGGAGTCAGGAAGGAGTGAAGGAGCTATTAAACTGATTTCTTCTTCAGCTTTTGCGAGGAGCTTTCATCCTATGATGAAGGCATTGTTAGACCTTTAAGATGTGCGTGTGTATTTTACCTCGTTTCTGGAAGGCCTATTAGTTTCCATAGAGGGGCAATCCCTATTTGAAGAACGCACACAAACCCTGTTAAAACCAAGGGAATAGGGTTTTTTTATTTATTTTCTTTTCTTAGTGGAGGGGCAAAGGAGAGGGGTGAAACCAAATCCTGCTCAGACAAGCCAGGCTGGTGGTTTGCAGGGCATCACACACAGCTCTCACGCCCAGGCACAGCATTTGAGACAATCCCCACAATCCCAGACTCACTCTGAAGATGGACAGCACAAGGATGCGGATGCTCACGTTTGGGTCCCTCCCAACTGCATTGAATGGGGTTGCACCAGTTTTACAGTGGGGTGGGAAATCCCTGCTCAGCTCAGGTGTACACCAGTGTGATTGGGTGGAATTGGTGTAATTGGGCTGCTGTCACCGTAACATGTCATAGGACTGTCCTCGTGAAGCAGAGTCTGGGTCGCCCATGTATGCACATGGAAAGGAAGGTGGGCTTAGCCACCAGAGGCTAACATCATCTGGATTTCTTTCTCTTCAGAATGAAGCGTAGTTCATTGAAGGGAAGGTTCTTTGACTCGGTGGGTTTGGGGTTTGTTTTGCTTGTTTGCTTGCTTGAAGCATCTGTGATTTATTGCCAACAGTTGTGAGAGGGTGGTTGTTCCACGCTGTGACCCTCCCCATGGCTATGCCTGTTATTGTATGAACTCTGTGCTTCTGAAGTATTTCCCCGCATGCAGGACTGAGAACAGCACAGAGGGCTGAAGTCAGTAAGGGGCATGAGATGCTCTGATACACCTGCCCTGACGGGTGGACGTGCACTCATGAGTTTCCAGTGAGCTAGCTCAGATGCTGTCACAGTGTAGCCATGGCTACCCAGCCTGCAAAACCTCAGAGGATAGGTAGATAGTTGTGAAGGTAGTTGTAATGAGCTCCATGGCCCTGGAACTAACGTGCTGATGAGACCCCAGGCTAGCCAGGTGCAAGCCATCTTTGTTATGGCTATGTTACACCAAAACCGTACCATTAGCAGTTAGAATCCAACACTGACATGCCATAAGATCATCAAAATCCTCTCTTAGCAGCTCTCTAATTCCCAAAATCCAGAGAAACCAAAAGGATGCTTAAAATTTCCCCATGGTGGTTGTACTGAAGCCCTTACACCCTGACACCCAAGGAACGGTCCCATTGACATCTCCATGAGGCTCTCAGAGGCAAGGACTTTCTTTGTGTTTGGTGCTGGTCTGGTGAGTGCTTTCAAACATGGATTAGGACTGACACAGAAGGTGCTGGAGAAGTTGCACCAGTACCATCAGGTTTTCTCCTGTCCCTGGTTCAAAGCAAGGGTTTGACCCAGCTCTGCATTTCACCAGGTGAATGGCTAGCTGCAAGGAAGCCCAGAAGAAGCAAGGGAAAGCTCTTTCTCAGCTTTCCAAGTTGTTCCACTTGGTTTAAAATGCTTCCTCTCGCTGGTTCAGAGTTTGAAAGCAACATCAGTCTGTGAAATATTTGATTCATCAATCTGTGAAGTCACTCACCCTCTTCATCTATCGTGGTAGCTATTGTTTGGCTGCAGAAGAGCACTGCCTCATCTTCTTGGCACTGAGGTGCCCAAGGTGTGAAATTGAATCCCAGGTCCCAGCCAAGCAAAATAAGAGTTTGAGCACAGAGCTGTTGAGAAGTGAAGCACCATTGCGAGCAACCTCCGTGGTGAGATGTGAGGGAAACCCTTCCCATTTGCTTTAGGCAGCCTTGCTGATGCAGAAGGTCCATGAGCCATGAGCAATGAGACACCTTGTGCATTTTCACTCTGTTGTTCTTCACCTTCCTTTTCCTCTCCCTGTGCTTGTAACTCCATTTGCAGGAGGACGTTCTGCTTTGTACTTACAACTTCTGTTCAGCCCTGTGCTAACCTGTGGCAGCATCAACTGTATGCCGAAGGCAGCAGGGATGGGATTGTCTCTTAGAGACATGACAGGGAAAAAAGTCATCTGGTTATTTAACCGTGCCACAGGACCTTCTGCAGCCCTGGAGTTGCACCACCAGGTCATTCTGCACAGAAGCCTGAAGATAGGATGTGACTTAGAGGGGCTCCTTCAAAAAACATTGACTACATTAACATGTCAGGAACAGTGTCCCCAGGCATCCTGCTTGCAATTATTTCATCACCGAACATCCAGCCACATCTCGCCATTATGCTGTCGAGGGTGTTTGAGAGATGAATGACTGTGCTGAATGTACCTGCGGTGACAGGCATGGCAATAGGAGTGGTGCGGGTGAGGCAGAGCCGCCAGCCCAGCTGTGTTGGCCTCGTACTCCAGGAGAACAGAGGAGTCAGTGGTGAAATCAGAGCTTTTCACTCGGGGGATGTGAGTAATCAAGTGAACAATGACATTTGGAGCAAGCCCTCGTTTTAAGTGGCTTAGTGCAGGAATTTGGCCCGATGACTTGGCCTCGTCTCCTCTGGTTTTCATCCAACTCATCAGTAGAATGGAGTTCAAGGACCTCGCTGCAACCCCAAAGGACAGCAGCCTTGTCCTGAACCCGTGCAGAATACACGATGCAGCGCTCAGGACGGCTGCTGTCTCACCCCCTTACCTCTGGTGTAAGGCAGGAATGACTCCAGTGAAGGCAACTGCATTAATTTGCTGTAAAATAAGATTAAGAGACATCCGTGGATGCAGTAGGCTTTTAGATATGTTCGAGAATGATGAATTTGGACTCCAAAATTTGCAAAAATCAGGACAAATTCTGATCACACTCACACCAATCTTACCCTTCAGTGACTCCTGAATTACACCAGCGTGAAACTGGAATTTGCCTTTAGATAAATTCCCTTATAGGCAGCCTGGAACTGTTTACTCCCTTTTTGTACCAGTGAGGGATCAAATCCCTCCTGTTAATTAGTCACTCTATGTTTCAGTGATTAAACTATTAACTAATTATTAATAAGTAGGGAACAATTAAAATATAAAAATTAAATTCTTTTCTCAAGGTCTAGAGGTATAAGATGCTCACATTAGGCTGTAGGTATTTCTATTCAGCTGGGACCTATCTTCCTCTGTGGCAAGAAATGAGAATATGACCATGTTTGGGGTTTAAAAAAAGAGCAGTAAAGAAATTCTAGGCTGTTGCAGAATTTCAGGGCATTAACTTGAAACTAGTTTTTAAAATCAGAGGTATATGTGCAGCAGCATCGTTACTGCAGTTATGGAACGAAAAACGGATCCCAAGAAAGCCCAGGAGACAAAACACCTGATTTTTTTTTTCTATTTTGCATATTAAGCAGTTAAATTTTTTTCAAGGAAGGTGTTCCTGGAGGACACATGTTTTGTACCTTAACTAATCGGCAGATTTACTTCTTTCTCAGTGTCTCTCTTGGTTCCCATTCAGCTCGGAAGCAATGAGGCAGGGTGGTGTCTGTGTCACAGGGCTATGGGAGTAAAGGGATTAAAAGCAAATCTGTGCTGCAATCTGATGGAAATACTTTCAGAGAGAGATGCACCTGCTGATTAACAAAAGACTGCCTAGTGAAAAGCCAAATGAAGTGGCAAAGAAAGCTCAGGAGTGAACATCGCTTGGCTCCGTGGCAGGGATTAAAGGGTTTTGGTGGGATTATTTTGTCTCCATTCCTTCTCCCATCACAATGGTGTTTAAACAAGGCAAAACATAGCAGGTTTCTGCAGGAAATACGAAATGTTTTCAGACTAGAAGGGAATTTCTCAAACTTGGAAATGCCAATATGTGTCTTT